GGGAGAAGAGCTCGTGAGAGGACCTGGCCGAATGGTCAGGAACGTGCACCCACGTGTCCTCAAGTGGGCAGTGTGGGTCAGGCTGAGCCGGGGTGACGACAGAGAACGTAAGAGTCCCTGCGCGCCTGCAGTTCCAGGGGCCGATCCTCTCAGATCAGTGTCCTTGGAGACGACTGGCTCATACAGATCATTAGCCAGAGGAATCAGAAGGATATGGGATGTCTGTCGTAAGTCATCGGCTCAGGGTGTCTGTCCTTTTATGAAATATTCTGATAAAAAGAGAATGCAAACGTGCCGCTTCGTACTTCTTGGCACAGTGGCTTGTTCTGCAAAGCAAACAAGGCAGACACTGCCCTTGACCGAACATCACGTGGTTATCGCCTCAACTCTCCAGCTTTCTCAGTCTGACTTGGGGAGCAGACATAGCAGGTCCCCCTGTGCCCGGTTAAAGTTGCCAGATCAGCCTGGCTCTATAGCCCAACGTGGTCAAGGTCCCCCTGCAGCTGATCCCTGGTGTGAAACCTGCTTTGAACTTGAACAAAGTTAAATATTCAAAGGTCCCGAAACCACTACCACAGATGGAAGTAAGCGAGACTTCTTTATTCGGTGCTTGTGGGAAAGCCATTCAAGGTCAAAGGCTGCTGACGGGGACGTTACCCAGGCACCTCCCAGGCCCCGGGGCCACGTGTCCCCAGGGGACTTCTATCCAGCTGTGGAGACCAGCTGGCACCATGCGCCCTGACATGGTCCATCATGTCGGAAAGGAAGAAAAGCTTCCGGGTTCCCTGTATGAGACAAGCACACTATTCGACACACCGGGTAAAGAAGAAACCTGTTACCAGTGTCATCCATGAGCATCGTGCAAACACACTAACAGCAGCAGCCCCACCTGACAAAAACAAGACAGTACGACTGAGTAGGGTTGATCTGCGAATGAATGTAAGGTTTGTTCCATATTAGCAAATCCATTAGTGTCATGTATCATAGTAACACATCTAAACAGAACTCATATACTTACCACTGGGGATACCAGTCCTTTATGAAACTCAATATCCATGATAAAAACACTCAAGAAAATGGGAAATGAGGGATACTTTCTTTTTAAAAAGACGTGGTAAGAAATACACTACCTAAAATTGACCATTTTGGCCATTTTCAAATGTACAGTTCAGTGGTATTAAGTACATCCAATTGTTTGCAGCCACCTGAGGGCTCCGTTCTTGACCTGAGAAAACCTATGTACCTTGCTGCCAAAGCCCGGATCCTTCTTGCTGCAGAGACCACGATGTTCCCACTGAGATCAGCAACGAGGCAAGAACGCCCTGCCTCTGCTACCCTCCTCCATGGCACCAGAGGTACCAGCCAGGGCGGCCACACAAGAGGAACCAACTGAGCATGGCAAGGGCGGAGAAGCAAAGCCATCTCTGTTTGCAGAAGACATAATAGCGTGTCTGGGAAACCTGAGAGAATCGATGCTCAGACTCACTAAGGAAAACCCAGGGCAGTGTCTGGATATCACATCAGTGCAACGTCAGTAGCCTTCCTACACAGACAATGCACAGAAGATGGAAAAGCGAAGACAAGTTCCATTTACAGCAGCAGCAAACACGCTGAGGAACAAATTGAACGAGAAACGTGCAAATGTCTACAGCGGAAAATTTAAAACAGTCTTGAAAGACACAAAAGTAACCCGGAACAAATGGAGGACAGCACTGCTTTTGGATGGATGACTAAACTCGGGTTACGTCAGGTCCCCCTAACTTGATAAATCCAGAGCAATCCCAATAAACATACTGTCTATTTTATGGAGCTAGGCAATTTAATACTGAACTTCATATAGAAAAACAAACATAAAAAACAGCCAGGAAAACAGAAAAACTGAGGGGGTTCTCACCCAGCTAGCAGTAACACACACCATCAATATCTGTAATGAAAACCATGGTACAGGCCCGTGAATAGATAGGAACTAAAATGCAGAACAGCCTCGAGTATATATGGAAGCTCACTGGATGACAAGGTGTGTCTCAAGTCACTGGATACAGGTGAATTAAGCAGCTGACCAAGCCGCAGGTAAGAGGAACGTGGCAGGTAGAAGACGTGCACCGTGCACCCCCCACGGCGCCCCTCCTCAGGCTGGCTCTTCTGTCTTCATCTTTTCTGCCCCTGCCCATCTTCAGAGGTGAAATTTAAGTTCATTTTATACTTAAGCTCATCTGCATGGTTTTCTCCTTCCTGATCTCTGCCTTAGTCCCCTGCTTGTGACTTTCCCACTTCTCCCATTTACTGTTGGAAGACAAAAATAAAATGGTAAAAGTGTGTGGAGAGAAACGCTAAGTGGCCCAAGGCAGCTATGGACACAGCTGCAAAAAAAAAGCAAAGCAGCTGCAAGGAAGTGGAAAAACCAAAATGCTGGGAAAAACCAAAATGCTGAGAAAAACCAAACACAGGATTGGTAAATTGGGCTAAATTATCTTTCTTCAACTATGACGAAATAAAGACATTTTCTTTTTTCTTTCTTTTTTTTTTTTTTAGATTTTATTGGGGATTTGGGGAAGGGGAACAGCCGAGTTGTTGTCCTTCAGTCTTAGTTGTGGAGGGTGCAGCTAGCTCAGCTCCAAGTCCAGTCGCCATCTGGCCACCCGTCGGCAGCTCCCAGCCGCTCAGCTAAAGGTGCCGTGTTCAATCTTAGTTGCGGGTGGGTGTAGTCTACCATCCCATGTGGGAGTCGAACTGGCAACCTTGTTGTTAGGAGCACGTGCTCTCACCAGCTGAGCCATCCTGCCACCTGTTGGCAGCTCAGTGGCAGCTCATTTCAGGTGCAGCGTCACTGGCCCATGTGGGACTCAAACCAGCGACCCTGTTGCTCTTAACCAACTGAGCCACTCAGCTGGCCCAAGACATTTTCAAACAAGCAAAAACAAAGGGCGTTTACCATGAACGGAACCTTACAGCCAGAGTAAGAAAGCTGAGAGACAAAGGAATTAGACCATGTGGGTGAATAGAAATAAGGATTGACTGTGAATAACAACAACAACAACAATAATAGTAATAGTAGAAGAGTCTAATTTGGGTTATTAGCTCACTAAGGTAGACCCCATAACACTGGGTAACAATGTCACACAAACAAAAGGGGACAATCAGAGTTAAATCCTAAGATATTTGTATTCTGTAGTAGGTAGAGTTAGTAACTTCAGACTTTGTTCATCTAAGTCAACAGTTGAAAATGTAAATGGCACCAGCAAAAGACTAGAAACAGGATAAGGATATAACTCTCAAATAGTAGAGAGGAGAAAAATGAAATGAGAAAATCTTAATCCAGAAAATGAGGAAAAAGTGCAGAGGGGCATCGGGAAAGCCCGTGGCTGGTGCTGTGGGAGCCACGTCCTCACGCCGTCCTCACGAGGCCCCTTCTCAGCCCAGTCAGCAGCTTCCCAGGGAAGCCGCCTCCACCGCAGTGAAGAGACGCAGTGCTGACCCTTCCTGGCTGGTGCTCGTTTCGCTTCCTCCAGAATTGAAGCCTTTCCTGTCAGTGGCCAGTAGACGTGACCAGAGAACTAATTCCTGTTAAGTTGTCAAAATATGTTAACCCATCAACTTTTTTTTTTTTTTTTACCATTGAAAAGCTTCCAATCCAGTACTTTCCTATTCTTTTTTTTCTAATTATTCTTGCTTCCAACTATGCAGTGAAAGCAGGACCGGACAACTTTTCCCTCCTCCCTGGGGGTTCCACCTTCCCAGCCTCCCGGGAGGATTAGAAGGTGCTTTGGGTTTTCTTGGCAGGTTGGACCACTGGCAGCGGCTTCCTCCCTCCTGTTTTGCATTTTAATAATGGATAGTCCTTAATGGAAAGAAGTGAATTTCTGATGGAGGAATTTTCTGTGGGAGACTGCGGCAGGAGGACCCAGCAGATCAGGTGGGGAGTGGCACCTCATTCTGGGGGTGCAAGCTGTTTGGATGGGGCTGTAGGGCAAGAATCCTGCTGCGCAAAGACCAGAGCACCTCCTAACCCATTCCCAGCAGCTGAGAAAAACCCAGGGAAGGCAAGGCAAGTGGTGTGTGTGTGTGCACAGTGTGTGCATGTGTGCGCGTACATGTGCACGCACCCATGTGTGTTTACAGCAGCTGGACCCTTGGCCAGGGATAGAATTACACATAATGGCCACTCACATTTCCTGAGCACTTTGTGTGCATTGGATGGAAACTGCCTCCCTCACCTCCCCATCCCCACCCCCCCAACCCTGCCCCCCATGCTGGAAAGGCTCTGAAGCTGTGTCCTTGTCCCTTGCTTGCCCCAGCGAGGCCACTGGCTGCCAAGAGCCCTGTCTTGAAAGCACGCTCAGTCTCAAATGTGCGAAAAGGACCCATTTCCATGCACTTCATAATGTACACTCTCTCCTGAAAGCAGTGATTTTCCAGCTTGTGTTCCATTTCTTTGTGTCCAGAGGACATAACTTACCCACTTCAAAGGGAGCAATTCCGGTGCTGTGTACTCAACGCTCCAGCCCTTGGGGCCTCCCCAGGCTCGGCAGCGGGCTGGCCAGCCTCACAGGAAAGACCCCTTCCATCCGATGGGCTTTTGCTTGAACTCTCCTGGCTCCCAGGCAATCACTAAAAGCCAGTTCTCTGAAGAGCTAATTTGGCAAGTGACTGACTCCAAAGAATTGATTATTTCTTTGCGCTAATTTGTTTTAGTTGAGCAGTTTTCAATTTGTGTTCATATCAGTGCATGCAGCCTGCTCTTTCTCTTGGCCTCAGCACCCTGGAGGGGGAGGCACATGCGGGGTGGGGGTGGGAGGACATTTTATGCATATAACCTTGAC